TGCGGACTCACGCTAGCGACGTATATTTGTTGGTGACCGCAGGATCCGTACTTTTTTAAGTGGTTATGCGCGTTTTTGAAGGCCAGTTGGATGGTTTTAGCAGGACGTCCCTCTCGCAGTTGTGGTGCGAAGACCACTGTTGAAACACCCCTGTGCGTTGAACATCGTCATAGTATGGAAATGTATTTTATTTACAAACGATTACCTACGTGTATGAAAATGCCAGTTCTATCTTCTGTTCGGTGGTTAATTTAATGGCTTTTGGTTCCTCCAGATAGGCGCGCTCTTGGTTTTATCTAACACGGTGTGTTTAGCGACTGTTGGTGATAGATGGCACAGACAAATGGCCGAATGTGTTGTCCTCCTGTCAGTATTGTTCAGTTCAGCTCAGTTTCATTAAGAGAAAGACAGGCAAACACACTTGAGCCTCCTATTTCTTTGTACAATGATCAAGAAATGCATCTATATAGCAGAAAAATTAAAAAAGGAGGCCGCTTACATAATTGCAGGCAAAAGGGTGGGCAGCTTCTTAGGAGTAGCATAATCACATGCGTAATTATTACCGCGGGAATATTACCTTTGCTTATTAGCGATGCCAAATGACACTAGCGGAAACAACAGAAATTCGAACCTGATTTGAGGAATTTTAAGGAGAAAAAACGGTCACTCAGAGAAGAAAATATCCGCAAGGTAGGACCGCCCTGTTGATGAGAATGTGTGAGGCAAGAAGAGAGAGCCCATCCTGGGCTTCATCAATATGCTAAGGGACCCTAGAGGTCGCGAGGTTATTATTTGTACGCCGGAGATACGACCACGATACGCCCTTGCTGATTGCTGACTCTGCTGACAAGGTGACGAAAACAGGAGAACCCGCACTGGAGTGTGCACAGGGGTAACCAACTTGCGGACTGGGAACCAAGCTCAATTCGCTTCCATAATATTAACTCTAGCAAGGTAGTGCATATGATTTCGTCACAGACTCTAAATGGAAAATCAGTGTCGCAGAAGTGAGAGCTATTCGCCGCGTTGGTCCGGACGGCATGAAGTTTCGCCAGTAAAGCGAGGCTGTTGCCTTTCCCCTTCTGATTTAAACCAGGCACAAACTGCCCCCACTGTCTATATCAATGACCGAAAGCTCTTACTGTTGAAAACGGACCGAAAACGGAATTGGTCTAGTTTTCTGTGGGCAGCACTCTCGGAAGTGCCACATTCTTGGGCAAGCTATTTTTAGGTTGCTTTACATTTTTTGCGCATCGTGTGCATGCATGTGGCGCATGATCAGTCCTTCGTCGGTAAATCAGGAGCGGTACCAGCTGTACATAGTTAATGATTTTAAGCTGCGCATCGAATAGCACTTTTTGGAGACTGATGGCCACCCACATATTGCAAAACAAACTTTCTTACCACCATTTTGAGAAAGAATTAGTTTTATCCCTTGGCCAGTGGTTACGCTCATCGCCCCCGTCTAAGTGCTGTTTGCCTTCTCTACTTCGGCGTGCGAAACAACTCTTGCTGAGAGTTGAGGCACTGAACAATGACTGAGTGTACGAATAAATGCTAACGTTCGCGTTCCAGGCGTTTGTATGAGTAAAGAAGAAGGCTGGTCCAGCCCCGTAATAGCCAAGTTATTTTTTTGAGCTGTCAAACTCTTACAGGAGCTTACCGTTAGAGTTAACAGCTGCAACAGAAACGTGTATGAACCAATCAGCTTTCAGCGACGCAGGTCTGAGGGTTCCTGCCCAGGGTTCGATACGACGGCGCCAAATCGATTGATTGAGCTCCCATCCGTGGACCAGGCTTCAATCAGTTCTCGGCTCCTCTTGTTTCTGGCGTAGTGGTTATCCTGAAGAATGGGAAGTTGAACTCATTGTCCACTTTATAGGGGCGAGCAGCCACTTGCGATA